TATGTATGTTTAATTGTTTAAATGTAATTTTTCTTTTTAAAACAAATGCTTTGTGGTCATTTGAAAGTACTCACCAGTTTCAGCTGTGGTTGATGAGAGGGTAAATGTGGTAAAATCTGTCGAACCTGAGGGAACCGATACATTACATTTCAGAACCGTACATTTCAGTCATCAATAAATTGTCTCTAATATTCATTATGCTTAGTTTTTGTTTAACCAAAAATATTCTGAGGCTGTTAAACTACTCTTAAACTACTTTGTTAAAAATGCGTACCGGTCATTGAAGGTGATCCAGTGGCTGTTGTGATGTCATTATCTGACTCAGTAAAAATGTTCGCAAGAGATTTTTTTTGAAAACAAAAACATTTTAATAGAGACTCAATGTTCAGCATTTTGTAAATGACAGATCATTTAAAAAATGAAGGATATTTAAGTACGTACCAGTCACACTTGGTGCTAAAGTTGTGGATGCTGAATAATAAAAAAAACATATATTTTTTATTTTTATAGCGTTTATGCCAGGCGTCAAAACTTTTTGACTCACGGGCCACAATTGTTCCAAAATTGAACAGGGAGGCCGGGTCAGATAGATCATTGTTTCCCCAAAACTGGGTCACAACCCTCAGGTGGGCCGCAAGAGATTTTTTTTGGGTCGTCTCGCATCATGTTTCCCACAAATTTAAATTAAATTTAGATCAGTGTAACATGATTTTCCATCATCATCACATTGAAGTAATGATTGAGTACTATTAGTAACTAGCAATAATAACTACAAATATTTAAAAGTGACGAAGTATGAAATACTTAGTGATCTTTGTTTTTTGAGATTCAGCGATGTTGAAGGATTATCAACAGTGGCTTTAAAAGCCATTTTAAATTTAAGGTTCTAAAGGAAAAATACTCACTTGTTGTGTCTGTCGTGTCCAATGAGGTTGAAGCTGAGGAGGAATTCAGATCGGTCAAAGTCAAAAGCAATTTTTTTCATGACTGAATCATATTTGCTTTTAATTCGGAAGGTTTATCATGACATTTGAACCATATTTGCTTTTAATTCGGAAGGTTTACAGACAAATGAAGGCACTTACACGCTACAGACGTTTCCACTGTCGTTGTTGCTGTAATGTTGAAATTATGTGATTGAAATCTTAATTCAAAAACTAGTTTTGGAGGCTAATGGGCCTTATACTGTATTTGTTCATAGCTTTAGACTGGTAAATAAATAACCAAATTATAGATCTTTTAAAATGGGTGAACAAATCATATAATGTTTATAGCATAGTAGACCATATTTGATTTTTTTCAGCCTTTAGTAAGAGTACAAGACCACGTGACTTACTTGGTATTGGAGTTGTGGGAAAACACGCTGTTAAATCTGTAGAACAGAGAACCAAAGTCAAATTTTGCATTTCAAAACATGATAACTTGTGCCTGACCAAAACAGGTTCACTGAAATATAACTATGAAACAGCAGATGGCAGCATTGTCAAAGATATTTTTCAAACTGAAGCAACCGGAACATACCTTTCATTCTTTTCTCTTTTTTTAAAATCAATAATTAATTGATACATTCTAAATAGGTTCTTGATCATTTTATATGCTGACTGTCCATATAGACTCAACTCACTTTGACCCTGTTTTGACTGACAGTATTGTCCATCTGTGGAATTAGCTCTGATGCAGCTGCAGGTGTTGTCGGGTTCGTGGTCACAGGGTTCAAACACAGCACAGGTGTCACAGGGCCAGATGTAGTCTTCTTCACAGCGACACTGGATTCCAGCATCGTCCTGGATGCAGACTGATAACAAACGCAACACACGGTCAATTCATGCCTGTCATGCTAATTACTGTCTGGTTGTACTTTGTTAATCTTGAGTAAAGGTTAATGCCTGTTGTTATGTTGAGGTCTGAGACGTTGATGTGTGGGCTGATTTGAACCGGGAAGGTCAGACCATTCAGGATGTTTTTCAGCTCATCTGCGTCTGTCGTGTTCACCTCAATGAAAACCTCATATTCGTAGATAATTTCAGGCACTGTTGAAAACAAGGGGATAAAGTTTTATTCACAAATGTGCACAGTTTGCCCAACATAGGTCACGGCCCAGGGATAAAAGACCCTACAGTACACACATTATTTTATTTCCATGCCAAGACCCCCCAAACAGCATTAGCTTCTGGCCCAAACGCACAGAGAATTCTAGAAAGTATGTGTACACTAACATAAACTTTTAGCACGAATTTTCTCACGTTTTAATCACTATTCTAAAAAAATATTTCATTGGTTTATCATAATAAATTTATTAACGAGTTTGTTTTCAGTACTATATATCCCCACTGAATTATAAACTTACTAATAAACTGTCGGTCAATTTCTTTTCAAAAACCTGTCCATTTTGCGCCAGCTAGCTAGCTAGCCACGGGCTAGCTTGAGGACCAGCGCAGCTTGAAATACAAAAAATGACATCCTCAACATACCGAAGCTGTCACTCGAGGTGCGTTCAAAACCATCGGAAATTAAACAATCCAACAACTACTGCTATTCTACATGACAAATGGTTATAAAACAAAATAAAATGAAGAAATACAAATAATAATTCGATTTTTTCCTCTAATTGTCTGAGGTCCACCCAGCTTCTCCCACTTTGAAAACCACTATCACAGTGACAGAATGTGAAAAAAAAAAAAAAGCAATTCTTACCAACGAATATAACTTCAATTTGTGTGATGTTGATCATGTCGTTCAGCTCCACGGGGAAAACCATGTTTGTCAAAGCTTGCCGGATTTGTTCCAACAGTTCAATGTTGCTGGCGCTAATCTCCACTTCGACTATGTACTCGTACGTCTGCTCGACTGTTAGCAAACAAGAAAACAACATGATGACGCCGTACAATTGATAAAGTTGGACCATATTTTTGTCCAGTACCTGTCTTTGGTTGACAATACTGCCCATTGGAAGGGAGGTCACTGATACACGTGCACGCGCCGTCTGTAATCTCATCACAGGCGCCATATGTGACGCAGTTGTTGTAGGACCAAACGTATTGATCCTCACATCTACACTGGTAGCTGGTGCCATTTGGGTAACACACTAATAACAAAAAACAGATAAAAAGAACACTTTAAAATCTTTAAAAATAGACACCAGGACAGTTTTGATGAAATATTCAAACCTGGCATAGTCCTGTTATACAAATCACAGTATTTAACATGTCAGAGGTGTTGATAAGTAACTAAATGTTTTTTAGTTCCTCATTCCTGCGGAAACAAGTAGTTGGAATGAGAGCCACTGGTTACATAATAGCCTTAAAGTATTTCTGCCGCAGATAACAGACTAAATTCCACTTCACTAACTAACAATATTTCCGTTATTGTTTGTTTACAGAGGAACCTCAAACGCGCCATGGTTCAGGGGCCACTTACAGCCTGATTAGATGTCAAGTGGGCCAGATCAGTACAATCATAACATAATTAACTATAAATAACATGTTTTCCCCTTTGTTTTCACGCACATAAGTAGAAGTAAATTAGAAAATCTTCATAATTAATGAAATATTCGACAAAACATCACTAACATGAAAGTGTTTTGTCACATTTTGTCACTTTCAACATTCAACAAGCAGTGCATATTGAACCTCCTATTGGGCTGGTTTTGGCCCACGGGCCATATGTTTGACACACCTGGTCTAAATCCATGCCCAGTCCTATTCATTTAGTGGTGCGGCAGTATATTTATCATCTTCACTTAGCCTCACATAAGTTCCCAAATAAAGTAGTTTTAGTATCATTTTCAAAAAAAAAAAAAATTTAATCTGATTATTTTAAATCACAAAATAATTCACAAGTATATTTTTGACAGGAATATGCAAAAAAAAAAAAAAAAAAAATTACATTCCGGCGGTTTTAACCAGCTGTTCAATTCAGTTTTTTTATTCAATTCTTACCTGTGGTCATGTGAATGTCTGACACAAATATGAGTGGAGTCAAAGTTAGGTTCAAGCTGCTGCTGTTGCTGCTGAACAGGGTCCTCAGGTGTTGTACTGCACCGACATCCGTCAAATTCAGCTCCACCACCACGTCATACTCCAAAGGAGAAAGCGGTTCTGTAGGAACATACAACGACACGTGGAGAAATTAAAAAAAAAAAAAAAAAAAACACTGAAAGAAAGGCACATGCATGTAGGTTGTTCGTTGTATGTTGTAGGTGAGAAATTCAGAGATTCATAGCAGTTCCCAATCTGGCCGTCCCATTTTAATATATACAGTAGAGAATCAATAAGTAATATTGACAAACTGGGATTCAATTCCATTCATCCTTTATCTACGTCTTATTCCCTTTCGCGGGAATATTTGCCAGATTAAATCCTGAAAGATCAACTCTTATCAATTCCCACCCATAATTATGTAAGGAGTTTGGTAAAGATTAGGGGCGAAAAAAGATACGTACTTCGTAAGAACAAATTCCGCACAGTAGTTAGCATGTGAGTGGAGCGGACAAATATATTGTCACGTGGCGCTATACGCTGAAGACAGCTTCATTTATATGCTACATTTTGGTTTCTTTTAATTGTGTTTTTTTTTTTTGTGGAACATTTTGCCCTGCATTAGAGCTCCCAGGCGTAAGTAAAAATCTTCCGATGTTTATGTCCTACATTATGATGTTACCGCTATGTGAGGGTAGGTGAGTGACATAGGTACTTATATGTGAGGGTAGGTGAGTGACCTAGGTACTTATGTACAGTATATGAGTACAGTATGTATACAACGCAGTCAAGGAACGCCGGTGCAGTAGATATAGTATGTTGAAAGAGGCTAAAGCTTCACTGGACGTACCACTTCTCTTCTGTCTGGATTGAGGTAGAAAAGGTTCGTCTTCTTCAAGTTCCTGTAACCACAAAAGAAGGACACCAGACTCACCATCAGGGTTTCCCGCTTTTATCTTCTGCGTCAAAGCACAAGGGCAGCGCTTTGTTAAAGTTGTGTAAATACAGCAGACTTACCGGTGAAACCAGTGTTTGGAAAACAACGAGAGTGAAGAGAAGGGCACAGACGCTCAGGACATTCCTAGCTCTGGCCATTCCTTTTTTCGAAGAGAGAGGAAAATAAAGATCATTACTTGTATCGTGATCCAGCTTGCGCGTACTGCATTGTTTTACAACCCGTGGTCACAGACGGCACATTTGCATCGGTTACACCTCTTTATTTATCGCCCATGGTATAAATCACCACACGACTGAATATAAATTTATGATAATGTTCACGGTGGAGAAGGCAGCCGGAGCCAGATCCACTTAAAAATACTTGGCTACCACAACAACTACTACATGTATTATCAGTGATACGCCTCAGCAGCTCTGCCCTTTACAACACTGTATACAAAGGAGGCAACCTGTTCCTAATAAGACTATTTGTTAATTAGTCAGCCATAACCTAATTGTATGTACAAGGAAGTAGCAATAAAACCTGCACTGAAATACATTTCTGAAACCACACACACACACTTACACACAGAAGTGAGAACACATAAAAGCCTGGTCAATATTCTCACTCCGATTCCCACTTCCCTTTTTTCGGAATTTCAGTCCGGGAGTCTGTGACATTAGTGTTTCTCAGGCTTTCGTTTTTAGCTTTACTTTTTTAAGTTTTTTTTTTTTTTTTTCTTCGTTTTTAGCTTTACTTTTTCAAGTTTTTTTGGTTTTTTTTTTTTTACAGTTTTTTTTTTTTTTAAATATGTACTAGTTCCCTCCCAAAGCTCCAAAAACATGCTTTATAGGGAAGTAGGAGTTCCCTCCCAAAGCCCCAAAAACATGCTTTATAGGGAAGTAGGTTGAACAGAAATTCTATATCGGGGTTACCAACGTAGTGCCCGGCAACACCTAAGGAACCTGCGGGGTGTGTTCTAAAACTAAAACTAGTCAACAAGAGGGTCAACAGTTGTACTGTTCCTGCGCTTTTTGAAGCAGTTACACTTACAGTTTGATTTTTAAATGGGTGCAATGACGATGGTTAGAAGAGTGTCTACCATTGTTGTTCCCAGAACGTACTATTATTACATTGTTCAGAAAGTCAAATCAAACGAGTAGCTCTTCGTATTACTAATTACCCTTGACGTAGCTCTCACTTTCAAAAAGGTTTGTTGACCCCTGTCCTATAGTGACCATAGTGATGACCCTGACTGTATGGCTGTTTGTCTCTACAGTGTACAGTGTTCCCTCTCTATATCACGGTTCTCCTTTCGCACCCCTCAGTACATCGCAGATCTTTTTTCTTTTTTTTTTTTTGGCTTTAAAAATTAGTAGTCTCGTTTTGAAATTGAGATAAGCGCATTTGCGATTGAGCGCCGGTAGACGATATCGTACACAGCATACTGTTGGCTAACACCATGCGTACTCGGTGTACTGTTGGCGAATTGAGCATGCTCTTCCGTTCCTCATGCTGATTTTCCCATTTCGCAATCGGTCGCAACTACCGCGATAGGAGAGGGATCACTGTATACCACCCTTCCACTTGTGTTGTTTTTCAGAATACATACCTTCAATGGCTGGTCCTCTTTACTGTATTATACAGGGAAGGTCCCATAATGTTGACAGTAAGTCTCTAAAATCCCATGCTGCCTGTCTCATCAGCCTGAGACCTGCGATGTGCGGAAAAAGAATTATATCAGTTCATACATAAGAGGTATTTATTTCACACAACATTTTTTCGTATTACTCTAGAAGCTATTTCGGTCTCTCCCACATGACCGCTGTCCCGAAGTGACGTCCGAAAGTTCGAAAGTCAAAAATGCATGAAGCTCTTTCCCACACTTTGAATAGAGCGCATGCTTTAAGAAAAGGAGTGTCTGTTTTCCTTGGCACAAACTAATTTTCAGTTGAACCTGACGAATGATGCAGACAGAGACAGAATTAATAGCTATTAGATTTAGTGACAATGATCAGCGCCACCAGGTTGTTCAACATTATTAGAGCAAGGGAAGCTGCCAGCTGACTCACCAATGCACGGCTTCACAAAGGCACTGCTGTCATGTGTTCGAAATATTTTAAGCTGCAGAGCTGACTCGTACACCGCTTCAGTAATCACAGGATGTTTTTATGAGGAAAAACATCCTTTGAATGAGCTTTCACTCAGATGATTACCGTGAACGTTTTGCCCTCCAACATCCTTTAAAATAAAGGATGTTTGCAGGGCATGAGTAAGTGATACAATTATTTAAAAAAAAAAAGTTATGTTAAGCTATGCTAGTTATGCTACAATTAGCGCAAAAATGTTGCGAGACTCCTTCACGATGTTTTTAGAAATTATTTTACCATGGATGTGTTTACTTGTTCTCCATCAACTCAGTTCTTTCAAAAGTTCCTCCAGGCATTTCAAAAATGTGCTCACTTTAATGTAGCTGCCAAAATAAAACATACCTAGGTAGTAACACATTTGTAATAGCGTCATAATTATAAATACAAAAGGAAAGTTGACAATGTCGCTGTGGTTATTAAAGTGACTAATTTGACAGTACAGTACTGATGGGTTAGTGTTAGGACAGTGCCTCGTTCGTAACTTACGCACTTGTGTTTTTCACCTGTTAAACCTAATAAAATCCATTAAGGATGCAGTTATGTACATACAGTCACAGTGCGCGTGTGTCTTTTCTTAAGCAAAGTCTCTTTACAGCAATTAAACAACAAGGTAATGGTTTCACATAAAATAAAAAAACAAAAAAAACCAAAACAAACACAAGTGGCTCTTTTCATCCTGGCTCAATATAAAGTAAAGTACTGTGGTTTCAGCTAAATGGGCTCAAAACGTGCAAAGGATTAAAAGAACGAAACTGCCACACATAGTTGACCATTACCCACAGGGGGATGTGGATGACTAGAATGAGTCACGCTTCAGTGAAGTTTGCAAACGGTGTTAGCACAAATGCTAACACAGTTGCTGACAGAAAAATGTAGTAGTGGAAAGTGCTGTATTAAAAATAAAGGACACACANGAAAGAGAGTTGCCTAAACAATTTCAAACAAAAAGAGGAAAGTTGTAGGTAAGCATTGCGTGTGAAAAAGAGAGCAGTACATGTATCGTGTCAATAATCCAGAAAGGCTTAAGAAAGCACTGAAGATAAAAGACAAAAAAAAACACAACAAATACTCTGTAATCCTGTCTATTGAAAAGGAGCAAGAAAATTTGAATGAACAGCAGTTACGCTGATTCTTCAGAACAAGGATCTTGAGAAAAGTCAACAAATATACACGGCTAGTGCTTCACAGGCTAACTTCAGTAACATAAGTGGGCACGGAATGCAGTCAGAAGAAGCCATAGAACTGAACCTTAAAAGTAACATATACTCCTGTAAAGGACAACATCTGCCCATACCTTACAGCAGGGGGCTTTCAATGTGTGCACCCCAAGGGGGGACAATTAATCCTCTGGGGGAGGCCCACGTTGTATAACTTTGAACCCCCCCCCCCCCCCCCCCCGAAAAACGCAAAACCCAAGAAAATTGGACAATCACAGTCACTAGTGTGGAGCTCAAGAATTCGACAAATAAATCCACCACCAGCAAAACAGCAACGATTAGCATCGTCGGATAAATGAACTGATTCACAGCTGTTCAAATCAGTGTTTGTTTTTACCGTGTCTTACAGTACGGTGACTCCAGATGTTGTAGCTATATCAGCTTTGAATGCATGGTTTGCTATTATGTGTCTGAAAAGACACATAAGAAATATACGTCATGCTAATCAGATGTAAAAATAGGATTTTTTTTTAATAACAGGGTAAATCCTGTAGTTTAAATCCGAAACAACTGATATTTGAAACATTTCATAATTATCATAATCTATGCTAATAAGCTAATGAGATAATATCAAGGTTTTTTTTTTCCTTGCCATTGACTGATAACATCATTCACCTGCTTTAGTATCACTGAGGCAAACAGCAAATATTCACAGTTTGAAGTATGGGGTGTGACGCACGGAGATAAATCCCTTCATTAAGTTTACAGCAAAAAAGTCCTGTGATTAGCTTTACCAGATTCACCAACAATGCAATACACAAAACTGACTCATTATTAAAAACAAATTCTCTTACCTGAGTTCTTTTATCCTCTCGCTTCCAAGCGTCAAATGTTGAGTAACCAAACAGCACACTGGAAAAGACAAATAGTCTCAGTATGAACATGGGACACTGTCAACCTCGTATGTGACCTACACAGACTAAGAGCTCTGCACAAAAAGAACTTCCTGAAATACAGTAAGGTGCCTGCTGTGGCCCAACAGGTTTGAGCATTTCCAGCTTCCATGTCAGGTAATGTTAGGCTTTTGTCTCCAAACCTTTGTCTTTGAACCACACAATAGTCTGAAGGGAAGTTAAATGTCATTCATAGATTTTGCAGGAAAGTGTTATTTGGACTTTCTTGTAAAAAAGAAGAAGGAATTTCAAATGTACTTCATAGTGCGTAATATGATACGTCGAGGAACTTGAGTGTTTGGTACATAGAAAGCTGCATTCAGTGTCTTGATAAATAAAGAGAAGAACAGACGTCTGTGCACCGGCAACGTCATATTTGGCCGTGCAAATGCAGAGAAAACACACGCTCCATTGTTTATTCTAATTGTTGTATTTTAGGAATGCTTATGGCAAGAGAGACGGGGTGAGAGAGTCGGGGTGAGAGAGACGGGGTGAGAGCGAGAGATCTGTAACAAAAGCTAATTCAAGATCAATTTCACAAATACAATTTGTTTAATCGCAGTGAGGAAGACAGAGAAGGAAAGAAAAATAGAGCATCTAATTTTCCTGTACGACTGCAGCATTTGATGCTAATAAAGTCGTAGCCTATTTCAGATCTAACCGAAATTCAGGTACCAAAAATAAGGTATGCGAGACAATGTCAAGTTCAAATAATGTGTTCATTTTTAATCAGTACAAAAATGTATTTTGTTTTCCCCCCTAGTATTCTGACCCTCCTGACATCGTACCCCTACGCTAACGGCCGTTAGCATACAAGCTGAAAACTGCTAACCACAGCCACTCGCCACAATTAGCATTAACCGTTTCAAAGTTTTATCACCTTTGCAATTTGTAATAGGGGATCAGCGATCTGCATATCCTCAGCGTAAATCGCAGAGACTTTGTTTATATTTTTTGTGACTTTGAATCTGTCATTTTTTTCAAACAGTGATCGTGTAGTTACACAACTCCATAAGGTCCATGGTCTGGTGAGTCAGTCCTGTGACTTGTATTTCGTAGCAGCCTATTGGTCAAGTTTTAAAACATTAAAGATAAGTATTTTACCAATAATGGGATACGCCATTACTACCAATTGATAGTTCAGTCAAAGCAAATCGCAGCAGTACCACCTGTAGACAGTAGGGGGCTGGCCAAAGCCGAATTCATCTAACGCCACATGCGTGGGAAAAAGGAAATAGTTCCTTAACTTTGTCATAAGTAATGAATTAGGTGGCCTGTGGTCATAGTCATGGGGAAAAAAAACTAGCCTTCTCGTCTTTCCCTGTGTTTAAGGTCGCATTCATATGAAACAACGACAGAAGATACCAGAAGAAATTAAAGGTGGCTGCTGCCAGGGCACAGCAATACAAGAGTGTAACAAGATACTATAAAATAATTGCTGGTATTCCAGGAAATAAACCATGATTTTTTTTTTTTCTTTAAAGGACGCAGCCCCTGCATGTATTTGCCCACGGCGTTGAAATTGAACGCATTGTTATGGTCAGAAACATGCTGCCAAACTGGATGTGCTCTTAGCACGAATGCTTTTGGGAAAAGTGGAGCCTTGTCATTAGTGTCTGAACACGTAACAACAGATCATGTTCCGACCGTGACATTGTTGTGCAGGTACTGTGCTTGCCGTCCACTTTATCACTGAAAAACGATCCCGGCGGTTTGAGCCACAGTCGTTTCAGCGATGGATTAACGTTAATAAAATGATTGTCCCACAATCACCAACAAAGACACAGACAAGGAAGAAAAAGAGAGACGTGTGGTTGGCCTCAAATGTCCGAGATGATTCATTTAAACTTTTAAGGAAACTTGGATTAAAACTCAGCGTGGTGCAGCCGAAAACCGTTGCAATGACGGGGGTCATTTGTTTGTGTGCAAACACAGGCAAGGCTCCACCTTTCTGAGAAAATCCTGAAGTTGATGTCAGTTTACATTTTTAGTTTCAGGTCAAGCAAGCAACGGTGTTTAGAAATGACATGGTTTGTCCAGTGTTCTCCTCTTTAATTCTCATCATACACTGGATCAGAACCTATGAAGGAAGCCGTCTGTGTCAACGGAGGCGGGTTAAGACATATCTCTCATTCGCCTACAATGCCGTCCTGAGTTCTCTCTCCAGGAAACTCAAACAAGGTCATGGTTCCCCCTCAGGTGTTAAATGTTCAACTCCGTGTTAGTAAAAATGCCCTCAGGTGAGCTTTGAGTCTATCATTTACACATATTTCAGGGCTTTAACCGCCTGATTTGCAGGTTTTTCAAAACACCATGACAGCTTAGTCTGAAAGCTTCAAGACAGGTCCTTATGTACCTAAGGACTATATACAAAAGGAGTTTAAGCAAAAGTAAACTTTGAAAGAATGACAACAGTCACAGTAAGTCAAATAGCGTACTTAGTAGCAAAGATAAATAATAGAATGGGAAAAAAAAAACGTGACTACCAAACTATAATATTATCATTTGTATTATTATTTATTGCATTGCGTTTCAATTAGGATAGGTTGGTCACTGAGCTCCCCATTATATCCTAGCTAAAGAGCACGACCCCGAGGCTAAATCTTTGCCCTGCATTTTAAGCTATTTTGCCTGAGGATCTTTCGAGGTCTATTAGCGCCACATATTCGCTGCAGAGCTAAAAAAAAAAAATCGAAAAATGAAAAATCTTGATTTTCGTGTTGAGCTGCAGTAAAATGTAAAGTGTTTTTGCCGAGAAGGAATTGACGTGTTTGAGTGACTGTGAAGAAGAATGGAGCAGGTATACACTGCACCTGGGTGTGTTACCCATCCAGCAATGCCGTCGTACAAACACCGCACAAGTAGTTCACAAACTAACTCGAAGCAGGTCTAGGGGAATAACAGACGAAACGCCAGAATGAAAAAACAAAAACATTTATACCATTCACAGACAATCGGATTTAGTGTCACGGGTTTCTTTTTCCGTTGAAGGTGCAGGTTTCTGTGGCAAAACAAGGTCCAATTACCCTACACACAGTCGAGAGGGATAAAGAAAACAACTCCCCACAGAAAGGCCATTGTTTAAAACACTTACAGATCACATTGTTATTGTTTTTTTTTCTTTTTTTTTCACTAGAGTCCTTCCTTGAGTATTTGGTTTTTTTGTTTGTTTTTGTTCACTAGAGTCCTTCCTTGAGTATTTGAAAATGTTGTGCTATAAAGACATTTAGGTTGACTTACACATTCAAAGTGTTGACTCTACAGGCAGCCCTTACGTAACAGAACTATCTGTGACAAACAAAAAACAGTTGGCCCGTACGGGGATCGAACCCGCGACCTTGGCGTTATTAGCACCACGCTCTAACCAACTGAGCTAACCGGCCACGTGACGTCAAAGATTTGAAGTTTACTGTAATAGAAATTCCACTTAGTTAAACGACAACACTTCGGAATAAAGTAATATATGTTGCTGTCTCTTTGGGGCTAATTGAAATGTCAGTCTCATTGTATTTTTATCTTGATAATAATAACATAAATAAATGTTTTTTGCTTAGTTTTTCAAAATAAAACGTCCTTTCTGGACATTCCGTCGAAGGAACGTTCTTTTTTCTTCTTCTCCTTTTTCTTTTTACTGTTATTATTATTATTATTATTATTATTATTATTATTATTATTATACCTGTAACCTATGTATTTACAGTACATTTGAAGATAATTTAACATTTTGACTTTTTGCTAATTTGGGAGGAAGCTAAAAGCTAACAGAATCCGAAATCCGAATCCGAAAAACTCGGAAAACTCTTCATCACTCTGTTACATCATGGGAATGAATTGTTGTGTAACAGCTTTAAATAAAGTTGTACTTCCGTAGTACTACTTTTAAAATAGAGAAGTTGATTTGAAATTATTGCCGTTTTTATGATTACAGATTCTGCCAGAGATGCTACTGTTGTTTGTAGCATCGTCCATTTAAACCTATTGAATTTAAACCTATTGAATTTATTGAACAAATAGGAATCATTTTTGGCTAGTGTAGGAGCTAAACTGTAGCAGACAAAAGATACATTATATCACACACACACCCTCCATTATCTACTGCTAAATAACACATTCTTTGTGAATTGCTAGGTTGAGAAACTCTTTTGTGAATCCAGTAGTTGATACTCACGTGGCCTGAATCTCACATTAACCCCCACATTGGAAGAAGTGGGCCACACACCCTGACAGTGGTAAAAGCCTGACCCCATCCACTATCAGTGTAACAGGATCCGTGCCAGTCTTATCTGACACCCATTGTTGGCAGTTACAGTAAATGGCAAAGTTAAGAATGTCTAACAATGAGGACCTGTCGTCGGATGAGTCACTGCAGACAGTTGTACACTATTATTGGTCCCAATGGTAATAACATGTACTTGAGGTTTAAAAATAGTTTATCTGCCTTCAGCATTACTCAAAAAAAGAAACAGCCCAGGACTGTATTTGTTGCAACAAAAAAAGACTAGACAAGAAGTAAGAGGAAGTAAAAATGCAATATGATATAAATACAAAATACTAAGAAACAGAAGCATAATATAAATAATTAAGGCGTACGTTGGTCATTACATAAGAAAAAGCATGTGAAAAATAGGCAGAGAAACGAGTTGTGACTTCGTGTGGGAGTCTCCCAGAATTCCGCAGAGAAGCAGTTCTCCCACGAAAACGTTAACTTATCTTTTATATCTTCGATATCAATAATCGATGAGACGATTTGTATCCAATTTGCTACACGCGATCCTGAGAGTAACCTCAAGGGTTCTTTGTTTTTAAAATGTCACATTAACATCTTGGTTGCCAATAATAATTATTCTAATATTAATAACAAATAATAATTGCATACCACTTTTACTAATAAGACGTCTTAGAATTAGTACATCTTCATTTGCTGCCTTGTAAAATACACCGTGACAATTTTCTTAGCTCTTTGTTACAGAAAAAGCGCAAGTGCAGTGTCTGAGCTGTGTTAGCCTGTAGCGCTCCCTGAGATGACATCATTAGCAAAAGCTTCCAAACCAGTTTCAACAAATGTTGTTTTCCCTTTGCCTGACCTTTCCACACGTGATCCACCTGCCTTATATGCTGTAGTATACCTTCAAATTATAGTTTGGTTGTAACTCCGCCCTGTGTTTAAATCAAAGAAACACAAGAGACAAAGCATCTGTGCAACTGAAATAACGGAATGGAATAAGTTAAATATTTTATTGTTCTTAATATTATTATTAGGAAGCCCATCCCCAGTTTCCCCACTCAGTTTCTTAACACACACTCAAGAAGCCATATCTTTGTATTTTCATTGATACCAATTTAAATTTAAAATATTTTATTTTATTGTCCAATTTTAATTGCAAAATCTGTTTTACTTCTGTTCTTTTGTTGCTACATTCTAATTTAATCCAGTCTAATCTAATCTAATCTAATCTATTCTAATCTAATCCAACATAATTAAATCTATTCTAATCCAATGTAACTGAATCTAATCTAATTATATTTAATCTATTCTAATCCAGTCTAATCTAATCTAATCCAACATAATTGAATGTACTCTAATAAAATGTAATTAAATCTAATCTAATCCAATCTAACCTAATCAAATGTAATTGAACCTAACCTAATCTACTATAATCCAGTCTAATCTAATCTAATCTAATCCAACATAATTGAATCCAATCCAATCCAATGTAACTGAATCTAATCTAACTATATTTAATCTATTCTAATCCAGTCTAATCTAATCTAATCCAACATAATTGAATGTAATCTAATTAAATGGAATTAAATCTAATCTAATCCAATCTAACCTAATCAAATGTAATTGAACCTAACGTAATCTACTATAATCCAGTCATATCTAATCTAATCTAATCCAACATAATTGAATCCAATCCAATCCAATGTAACTGAATCTAATCTAATCTAATTTAATCTAATCCAATCTAACCTAATCCAATGTAATTGAATTTAATCTGAACTACTCTAATCCAGTCTAATCTAATCCAATCTAACCTAATCCAATGTAATTGAATTCAATCTGAACTACTCTAATCCATTCTAATCTAATCTAATCTAATCCAACATAATTGAATTGAATCGAATGGAATCCAATGTAACTGAATCTAATCTAATCTAATTTAATCTAATCCAAGATAACCTAATCCAATGTAATGTAATTTAATTTAATCTGAACTAGTCTAATCTAATCCAATGTAATCGAATCTAATCTAACCTAATCCAGCATAACTGAATCTAATCTAACCTAATCAACCAAAATCTAATCTAATCCAATGTAATTGAATCTAATCTAACCTAATCAACCAAATCGAATCTAATCTAATTCAAAATAACTAAACTAAATTAAACTCTGTTGTATTTCAATAACATATTAGACAGGGACGTGACAAAACAAAACCGCAGGTCGGTGACATCATTAACACCTCGTATTGACTTTGATGAAGGCCGCAATAAGTGACATTTACGCAATATAAAAAAGGTTTTTCGCTTTTATTCGTGTTTTATCGTGTATTTAGGAGATTAGAGATTACATAGCATTCAAAAAAATACTGGTTACACCTGTGAAACCTGTTGGAGACACCCAATCTTCATACACACTTACAACAACATCCCCTCAGACAAAAAAAAAAAACAAAACAAAACCAAGAAAAACACAAAATATAAAACTCACACCTCCACAGTGTCCTCAGCACAGTGGAGAGACAACGTTGACGTCCCATCGTGTCCAGTAACACTGGCTTCGATTTCCTTCATTCAGTCTGGAATACTACAAAGTAATCCTGGGGTCCGAGGTTACTTCCCTTCACGTCAGGATCCGTCACAACTGTCCAACTGGAAAAAAAAAAACTTGACTCGACTCTCATTTTAACAATGTCAAACATTGACGAAAGTCGAGTACTTCCCTTTTTTGCCCACGATTAAAGTTAAGTACCACGAGTAGATTTCAAGTAGAGTTACAGTGTGTGCATATATTCCATCCCAGTGAGGTTATTTTGTGAAGCCAAGCAGGGAGAATACATTTGAATGCCCACAGAAACATGTAAAAAATAAAAAAAGTTAAAAAAAATCTAATAATCAAAAGGAGGTGCTACAGTAAGATAATGAGAATATATGTGAAAAATGCTATAACAGAAAGTCAAGAATAAAACAAATAATGTCTGCCTGTTTGTTAGAAAACATCAGTGCATCAGTGTGACAGTTTATTATTATCTACATGCTGCTCTTTAGGTCGGCGCGACAAAAATGTAGTACTTAAGCGAATGGAGATCACTCCGTAGATAGTAAAGGTGTGTAACAACAGAAATCTGACCAAAAAAAACAAAAAAAAACCTGAGAACTGTGCAGAAAGACAGACTAACAGCGTTTCATGCACCGTGCACCCAGAATTAAAAAACAAAATTATATATATATTTATATATTAAACTGATCAAATATAGGAATATATCTTTTGTCGTGTCAGATCATGTTTTCTGCTACTGTATAGACCGATGTTCGTCAATATTCTTTTGCAATGCTGCCACCTGTTGGTTTGGTAGACTAATGTCAAGGTATATTAAAAAAAAAAAAACCCCAGGTATTAACTGTTGATAAACAAACAAACAAACAAAAAACTACAACAGGAAGAACAAAACAGCTTAGAGGTAAGAACATTTCAGGCACATGTTTTATGGATCACTTCACACCTGGGAACAAAAACCCTAAACCCACGTTTTTTTACCAATGTGATCTTGAATCACACTGTACGTGTTTTGTGGTACAGTTTGACGCAACTTAAATGAAATTTTGTTCGGGTATGAGTGAGAAAGTGCCAGTCTTGATCTTTGCTGCGTTTACATTTTCTTCTCACATGAAGTTTTTACAGGAAGTGATACTCACGTAGAAGCACCTTTAAAGCATGGCTGCGTGTGTGGACCGTGAGCGCGGTGAAAGATGTGCGTGTACTAAGGTGATCGTTAACCCGGTGTTTCCACAGAGAATGGAAGTTTGCGGGAGTGGACTCCACAGAAGAGGACCAATGGAAGATGAAGACACGTTCGATTTTAGTAAAGAAGTCGGAAAAGTCCGCGACGAGAGTCAGTGTGTGGAATTCCATCTGCTGCCAGGTCAAAGTTCGGTCCCGTTCTGTTTACTATAACAGATCAGGGAGGTGGCAGTAGACCGAGTCCAGCAGTGTCTGACTGGCCTCCTGACTCTTCACGCCGGCGATCTCGAAAAGACGATCCAGCTTGTCCTCGGCAGCTGGGATCTCCTCGATCAGATGGAGCTCCTCGGGGTTCAGGATGTGGAGCATGTCGTCGAAAATGGGCTGCAGGTCACAAGGGTCAAGGCGCACCTGCCGGAGCACAGTGTCTTTTTTCTCTAAAGAGAAGGACAATGATGAGAAACGGTTGTAAATCAGGGAGAAGCTCTTTGTAAGTGTGTCCTTGCACAATGGTTGGGGTTAGATCCCCCTGCAGGGGGCATGGGGTTAGTGCAATTATTTAGAGTAGTTCACCAGAATTATGCATCAATAGCTGTCAATGTGTGTCAATGTGTGGAGTTGTGTCAGCGGACTTGACAATATTCCTATCTACCAAAAGGGGGCGCCAGAGTTCACCAAAGTTTGGTGACCACTGCCCTAGGGGAACCAAGGATATACCAATACAGATGGTAATTGGTTTCAAAAGCATTTTTACTAAACCCAGGGTATCAAACATAGGGCCCGCAGGCCAAAACGGGCCCGCTTGAGGGTTCAATCTGGTCCGCTTAATGAATTTGAATTGAAAAAAAAACAAAACTTTTTGTTATTCATAGGTAATTTTGAAAAAAAAACCAAAACTTTTTGTTATTCATAGGTAATTTTGTTAGGATTATGTTATGTACTGGTCTGGCCCATTTGACATCTAATTAGGTTGTATGCAGCCCATACACCAAAATGAGTTCGACACCCCTGCCTCTCACCTTTGGTTATAAAGGAGCCGTTCCGGCTGAGGGCGGAGTCTTTGCTCGAGGTGGAGTCACAGCGTAAAAGAGGCTCCGACTCATCGGGGAAGAAGCCTTTAACGCGGTCCACGGGTGACTGCTCCACACCCACAACGCAGGCACCACTGTTGTTGCTGGTGTTACTGCCACTGCCCACACTGCTGGGAGACTCCAGGCTCTTGTGGACGGGACTATGGGTCACACTCGAAGACGTCATGAGCTGGCTGAGGTCAAACTGAGGACAAAAAGATTTGAAAATTTAAAAAAACGCTAACGACACGGAGTAAAGAGAAACAATACCTTCAACATGTTTAGTAAAGTTATGTTTTCACTGCAATTGCAGATTTGAACCACTAGATGGGGTGGCAGGACTTTTTAAACCGCGTGTGACTTTTTAGGTCTCCCCATGCTTATAATGGACTGTGTGTTTTAGTAACAATAAGACAACTAGCATAGCCACAAGTGATCGGGTTTGCTGTTAACATACTAAAACACTCAAGTAACGAAGTTTTGGTTTCCACACGATGTTTTAGCTTTATAGTATCTATTTTACGTTTGCTAACACAAAAACTCTGGGTAAAAATAAAAATACAGTTATATATATAAAATATATTAAAAATACATAATAAAATATATAAAAATACATATGCCTGGAATGTTTGCCCGGAAAACATTGCTAGCTGCTGATAGTAATTGATTGCAATGACTGGTTAATATAATACAAAGATGGAACATACACATAGAAGTGGAAATACTAACTATATTTTTTAAATATCCTGACAGACAACTAAAGTTATTAGTCCCTATTAAAAACTCCCACAAAGCTTTTTTAATATCAATAATTCAAGGTTCACTTCCGAGCTGTCAAAGTGCCATGAATCTGGACACGTGGTTGGTGAAACAGTCAGTCATCTGCCTAATGATTAAGCTGGACGGAAGCAAAATGAACGCAGTCTCATATGTTGGCAGACCACTGTAGTGTGAAGGGCAGATGGACTGATTAACTAGAAGAAAAAAAAAGATACGGCAAAGAATCTCCTGGCACCTCCAGCCGTACAGTATACATCATTATAAACACAAACAGACATACGCTGGTCCGACACGTCCACAACTCAAAAATCCTTTCATACAATCAGTGAGGAAATGAGGACAAATTAACGGATGTGGATTCACTTTATTTTCTCAGTGTATGATTGTCTGAGACAAGCTAATGGGACTTTAACCATAACCACTCAATTACCGTAGGCCGGCACATTTCTCATGTCTCATTGTGACAGAGAAGGTTTTACACCACTTGCTCACTTTGATTAATCCATTAACTACATGAAGGCACGGAGGAAAATGAAGCGAGCAGATGCGCAGTGTCAAATAAAACACAAAGAAATTGAACAGCTGCTAAATGACCGCCTTGAGTGTCCGTCCACGCTTTTCAGCTTTACGAGAGCCGGGGACCGAAGTCTTTACGAAGAAAAAGCTTTGGTAAAATAACTAGGGCAGTAAGCGAACAGCTTTGATTGGACTGATCACAGGTTAGCTGTCGAATAATCACGATTAATCGTGATCCTAATTAATCACAACTAATCTTCATATAACAATATGTACATATATAGTTATATGAAGATTAGATCATTGTATGCATATATATATACATATATGTATACATATATAAAATATATATACATATATACACACATTTATACATGTTTTTTCAAATAAGTTGTATATATGTATGTATATATGTATGTATATATTTCTGGCACAACATACATATATATATATATTTTTTTAATTAAAAAATATATCCAAAGTACTTAACTTTTGTGTTACTAGTCAGGGCTAAATATCTAGGGTGAACCCTGACTAAATTGTCTATTTTTTTTACAGCTCAGGGTAATTTTTGCGATTTGTTACATCACGAGTTTCAATATGTTAGACCGGGGAAATCAATGACTCGTATTACGTTCTTCGAAACCAGAATGTTGGACATTTTGGTACCAAAACAAATACTGTGATAACAATATTGAGGGATATATTTCACGAGCTAACAAGCGCCCCCTACGTATACTGCAACACCAGGTCCTATTGGTACACCAGGCACAGGGTCCACAGTGAGCAAACAGAGAGTGAGCACTGAGGGAAACACCACGGTTGCTCTTCTATTCGACACCAACACAACAGCCGCTGACATAAAAATAGAAACGCGATCCAGACACCCGACCCCTCTGTTGTTTCAGTAAGAAACATAATGATAGAGTGGAGATTTTATTTTCACTCTTTCTGTAATAGTGGGTCTAATATAACAGCAGCAACCACATGCCTCCAATGAGCCTGTCTTATTGCGATAGCTATCTGAATAAAGGTTAAAAAAAAAAAAGCGCTAAAGACACTGACCTTTTTAAGGCTGGGCGTGCCTTATGTTTGCTTTTTGTTGTCTTTTTCTAAAAGTTGGTCAAATGGAATCGATCTGAATCGGAACTGAGTTAGCATTATGATTATTGTTCAGCGTACACAATGGCTGATTGGGAGATGCTCTTCTCCAGATACCACCACCGTACCAAAACATACGCCCATTACCCCAGTCATACTTAACTGGATAATTTGATGGCACATGACTGGTAAACGCTAAAAAATAGAGAGACTCGAAGCTGTTGAAGATCTGTCTTTCTTCAATTCCTGCAAGTTCAACTAAACAGGCTCATGTTTCACAGTAGTAAATTGAAACATATATAGATTTTTCTTAGATATGAGATGTACATTATTGAGAAATCAATGTATCATGTAACACATTGTTTCCCAAAGACTGGGTCGCGACCCCCAGGTGGGTTGCAAAATCTTTTTGGGGGGGTTGTCTTGCCTCATGTTTCCCAGGGGTTTATGAATAATGTCTATTGACTTGGGTCGCGAAGGTTTGTGACTTTTAAAATACGGGTACCCAGAAAAAAACGTTTGGGTAACATTGATGTAGCAGATTGTTATTATTGGGCAGCCTCAGTAATACTGATTTACAGTATACAGTAAATATTTACTGAGCTCAAACTAAAACCTCTCTTTCCGGCTGACCTTGATTTTGTCCTTTCCGTATTGTTTCTTCATTAGTTCTGTCATCTTATCTTTAACAACAGTCGGACCGACAAATTACTGGAGATCATCTGCTGGTGATTAAACTGTGATGAAAGGCCAAAATTGCGACTGGCTGAAACTTGAACAAGATGTTGACTGTGTAGCACAGACCCCGTCTCCTCAAGGTGACATTCACAACAACTTTATTAGAGTTAGAAGAGTACTTTGACGGATGCATGTCTTCATTAAACTTTAGACTTTGACGGATGCATGTCTTCGTTAAAATAAAAAAAAAATCTCACTATTTATTTCATAACATCCCAAATTTACCAAGTAATGCAGCACAACATTGGCTTATTCACGTTTGTATTTTCGATACTTTTGTAGTTTTCATTAGGGTTAGTTCAGGGACAGCTGATAAGAACGCAGGCTTTTCAGATCTGGATCTCTGCCATGTTTATACCGGGTGGTGATGAGGGATCAAACACGCCCCTGGTGGTTGTGGGTTTTGTTTTTGCGGGTGCACTTGTAGGAAATTGTAACCCCAGACAACACAATCTCAAGACTGAGGCTAAACATATGAGGTATTTACTAAATTACAGTCATTAGGCCGCACACATGAAGCAACTTGTAACCATGTGTTTCGGAGCCGAAAAGACCACGGGGTCAGGTATGTGTTTGGGAAACTGGAGTGCAGTTAAAAAACACAACTTGGCTCCTGTAGAAGTAAATTACAGAAGAGAAGATACGACGTTTAGAGCCCAGAAGACGGCATTCTATGTTTGTCTACATAAAGCATAGAACTCACATTATTACCCAGACTGCAGGTGGCGTTAAATACGCCTATAAAAGAACCATGTTCCTTGATTACAGTGCACTGGTAAAATGGTGTTGTTTCATGTAAATCTAATCCTGTAACTTAGCCAAAACGTTTATTGTCATCGGAAACAGAAAAAAATAATCACGATTACAAGAGGTCCTCGGTTTACGACACCCTCGACCTACGGGGTTTCGTGGTTACGATGCCATCTCCCCCAAAGGGAACTCCCAAGGGATTAATAAAGATCTATCGATCGATCGATCGATCGATTGACCGACCGATCGACCCATCCATCCATCCATTAATTCCATCCATCCATCCATCCATCCATCCATCCATCCATCCATCCATCCATCCATCTAGACGTCTCACACATTTATTGAGAAAGCGTTAGCAAAATCTCACGGCCATGCATTTCGCCCAGACGGTCAACACCGCTCCTCCCTACCTGCGGTCATGCATATCGCCCAGGCGGTCAACACCGCTCCTCCCTACCTGCGGGTTGTCCTCCATGACACAGCGTATCTTCTCCACTACGTCGATGCGCCGTTGTCGGTGCAGGGCATTTATCAACTTGGCCAAGTTGGCGTCGCTGTCCCGTATGGTCCAGTGCTGCAGAGCCGCGTAAGCCCGCTCGTGATCGGACGAGTAGCCGTTGGAGAAGGCCGTTATCTCACGCTCTGTAGCATTAGCCAGCAGCTGATAGATGTCAATCCACAGGGTTCCGACGTGAGCAGCAACCAGCTTCAGGATGTCCACCCCTATGTAGAAAGGAGGGTAGAAAACAGGGATGAGGCTCATCGTTGGATATTAGCTGTAACACAAACCAGGATCACTCCACAGCTAATAGCATTAGCATATAGGTGACTTATAATTTAACCCATTTTAGCACCATGTCACAAACAACTGCGGGGTCTTTTCAGTGCCACAGGACTGAAAGAGAAGAATTTTGAGTGTTGTGACTCAGAATGTTATTACGTTACAATTGAAGACAATCGTTTATTTCCTAAGACAATATTGAATCGTGACTTGTAGAACGTTGTGTCTGTAGGGATGACTGATTCGATCCGTGACAGGATGTCGGGAAAGAAAGACTTCTAATGTAGCAACCAGTTGAAGGGTATATGGCGTGGACACAAATACACGTGCTAGCTCGTAGTGTAGCGTGATGCCTGGGGCAGTACGTCATGTGACAGGACCTGGGCCTCCGTGGACAAAGCGGTGTCTCTTATTTCACCGAGGCCCCACCTGCTGTGCTGCGGAGGAAGTGATGCAATACACACTCATCTTACAGTATGTCATACTGGCTAGTACACTGGCTACAAAGAGGTCCGACTGTTAATTGGTAGTAGTGGAAATATATACTGTAAACACATACTTGTTCAGTGTTTGTACTACAGTAAATTGGTCAACACCGAGTGTTTGTGAAAGGCACCAGAAAGTTATTGAAGGCAGTAATGGAGGACGAGGATTCAACCTCATATAGCAGGGGTGTCAAACATGCGGCCCGTGGGCCAAACCCGGTCCGTTAGGGGGTTCAATCTGGCCCGCTTGATGACTTTTGAAAGTGAAAAAAAATGGACTAACACTTGTTTATGATTTATCACAACAACTCATGTTACATAGTACAGAAAACTGCCATGCAGTACTGTACTGTGTATTTTCTATCCCTCACTTCAAACTGGGGAAATTATAAACAAGCAGAAATGACAGGGTTTTTTTTTACATCCATTATTTAAAAGCTGAATGTGTATACTGTAAATGGAAGTAAGGGAAATCGCTAGCTTAGAGGAAGGTTTCAAGTCATTCTTTGTCTTTTTAAAATCCCACTTTGCCTAATCGCCCTGACATATCTACACTTCAATAGATCTCTCAAGCCACAGATGGATTTTTTTTTTTTATTCCATGTGAAGATGATTGGCTGATCACTCACTGCTCCACTTCACCCTGACGGCTGTGTGACTGGACAGTGATTCAGCTTATCACGGAAACGCTGACTCACTGCATGGTCCTGCAGAATAATGGCTCCTTGTGTGGTTGACGATTCAGTGCCTCCACATGCCTGAGGGTCTGACCCAGACATGGACGGCTCAGACATGATTTCTCAAAATGAATAATGGTGATGGTCAAAATGTTTGGTTTTTTTTTTTAAGTGACGACTTTTGGTCCTTGCATCTGTGTGAGAACACAAGTCAATCAGCAAAACCGAAATCAAATTCCAAAAATGAATTTGAAAAACCTGCATGGCCTTGCCTAAGACTGAGGTGTAATAGCAAATACACATTCTAATATTGTCTTGTATATGTGTATGTGGTATACATATATATATACAGTGTATATTAGCCAAAATTACAAAATGAATACATGCAAATTATATATATATATATATGCACATATATATATATATTTATATATATATATATGCATACATATATATATATGCACATATATATATATATAATTTGCATGTATTTATTTTGTAATTTTGGCTAATATATACTGTATATATATATATATATTTTTTATATATTTTTATATATATATATATTTATATATATATATATAGGGTATATATATATATATAGGGTATATATATATATATAAACCTGGCCCCGGATAAGCGGTTGATGATGGATGGATGGATGAATATATACAGTAGATATACTTTATATATATATATATGCATATATATATATGTATGTATATATATATATATAAATATATATATATATATGCATATATATATATATAGGGTATATATTCATATTTAATATAAATGGGCTATCGCTGACCAACATGAACGTACATGCATTAAATCCATAATCCATAAAGAGGATCAGCATCAAATGGATCAAATGGATATAAGACAGCATTAAACATTTACGCCCTGACCTATGACACACAGACAGGCTTACAGTGAATGACATTTGCACAAATATAGGCACACGTCGGCTGACGGCGCATGTATACATTTGCACGTGACTGCTGCGTGAACGTGCACTGCAATTTAACCGTTACATTTAACCACAGACATTAACTGAACTGACTGTGTGTGTAGGTTTGTTTTGCCTGATTTCGATCAAAACATGTGACAGCCTTCCTACGCCCAAAGGCCGAGAAACACGGATGAAATCCCAGAGGGACGTGCAGCATGACCTCACGTGCCAGCCTTCTGGGCTGTTAGGGCCGTCCACTCTCATCCACCTCGCTTGTCGTGATGCACAGGGACGGAGGAGAAATCCCTCCTGCACGGCACGCCTCGCTGACGCCGCTACCCAGTCGCATTTCCATGACCTATATAGTGTGAGTCACGTGAGGAGTCAGTGTGTCAGCCTGCAGATGTGCTTGTTCGCCGGGAAATGACTGCGCAGGCTTCTTACTACTATGTGTATTATAATATGTTTACTTGTTGTTGTTTACCTGTCTTTGCTTCTTTATTGGTTATATCTAGTGATCTGTAGATAATAGAAAAAAACAAAGCTTTATTTATACCTTCTTAGTTACCCCCGTAACTCTAGACTCTAAACTCTACATAAGTACCAATGTCAGGCAAACTAAGGCCCGGGGGCCGGATGCGGCCCGTTCAGCTTTTTAATCCGGCCCACCATACTTTTTCAAATTATATCATTCTTTTTTATTGACTTTTACCTGCAATACCCAGGTTTCCCCAATAGATGGCGTAGAAAATGATAAAAGCAATTTAGCATTTTAGCCTTTACGCATGACTTTTACATGTCATTTATCTTAGTTCACACGAACGCTCCATCTATCTGCTCCTGACCCGACCCCCGCCCCCCGTTCAATTTTAGGACCAATTGTGGCCCGTGAGTCAAAAAGTTTGCCCATGCCTGATCTATGTCAATCACCTACGCTAACGCAGCGCTAACGTCATAATCCAGGACATAAAAACATCAAGGAATGTAGCACAATGCAAGGTATAGCAGACAACGGGCAATTGTTTACAAAAACGTCTTCCGCGTACGTCACTGCATGACAACGTTTTCTTTTGTTGATGATGGCGACGTAACCGGGAAAACGTTGTCGGTCAAGGAAATCGTAAACTCAGAACCCCCTGTGTGTATTTGTGAAATTTGTGCCCTACACTTGTACAAACATTTTTTTTTTCTCTCGCAAATACACAACAATAAACCATTATGCGCCAAGTTAGCTAGCTGCACAGAGTACAGTATCGTGCGTGGCAACGTCTTCACAAATACCACACCGTTAATGACTTATTATAAACACTGTAATTTGGGAACACTGTGTTTTGTAAATGTGTACGTTTACGATCACGACAATCACTGTTTACGACGGCTTCCCTCGAGTTGTGTTCTTGCAATCAATCCCAGGCTTACATGGGAGCAGGTTACCCCGGTCCACCCTGTTACTGCACAGCCGCGGTGTACTCTAACACGTGGTTCCCTGCTGGGCTTGGAAGCGGAGGTTGCCGTTATTAGCGGTGTGGATGTTTAACGAGATGTGTTTTCCCCTCCAAACTGCGTCTCGCTCTTCAAATATATGTTGTCGATTAAAACGGCCCGTGACCACACGCAACACGACCTGCGTTGCCGTTGAAATGCTCCGTGCTCTGTCGCAGGTAGACGTTCAGTTTAGCGTTCCATACGTAGCTAGACGGCTAAAGCTAGTACTAGTACTACTACAATGTGTGAAGGTCTCTAGCTTCCTGCAACGGTCCGACTGGAAACTCAACCTAAATGTTGCAGGTTTTGGTTTTAGCTCCATGTTCTACGATCACGACAATCACTGTTTACGACGGCTTCCCTCGAGTTGTGTTCTTGCAATCAATCCCAGGCTCACATGGGAGCAGGTTACCCCGGTCCACCCTGTTACTGCACAGCCGCGGTGTACTCTAACACGTGGTTCCCTGCTGGGCTTGGAAGCGGAGGTTGCCGTTATTAGCGGTGTGGATGTTTAACGAGATGTGTTTTCCCCTCCAAACTGCGTCTCGCTCTTCAAATATATGTTGTCGATTAAAACGGCCCGTGACCACACGCAACACGACCTGCGTTACCGTTGAAATGCTCCGTGCTCTGTCGCAGGTAGACGTTCAGTTTAGCGTTCCATACGTAGCTAGACGGCTAAAGCTAGTACTAGTACTACTACAATGTGTGAAGGTCTCTAGCTTCCTGCAACGGTCCGACTGGAAACTCAACTTAACTGCAGGTTTTGGTTTTAGCTCCATGTTCAGATATGGCAATGTGTAGCGTAGCATAATTAGCTTTTTGAGGTGCAACTATCAACTACGTTTTGAATTTAAAATCCAGTTTCATAACTCAAAACATCCTAACTTTAAAATAAATACCTCAGAAAAACGAACATCATTTAAACGAAAAATAGTGCCCTGTTGTTTACGTAGTTTTACCGTAGCACATAGGCTAGGAAGGCTTGTCGATGAAAACGTAATTTTATTCTACATCACGTTTAAGGAAGCTGCTCTGTTCTTGCTGTCTTTGTCTGAGTCCCCAATTAGCCTTTTGTTGTGACACTCACTGAGGCGCTAGTTTGATATACTGCAAGGGTGCCCAATCTCTGGCCCAGGGATTGGTACTGGTCCGTAGGTCATTTGGTACCGGGCCGCGTTTTGCTAATTTACTTCATCCTAAAAGAATCTAGTAATATCCCTTTACTTTTTTTAAATTAGAGGATAATCTGGAAATGTTTCGAGGACGGTATTTCCTTTGCGAGCTTTTGGGATCCTAGCCATGCTCACAGAAATGAAAAGTTCAGGTGCCGTGGTATTATGCTGATGCTAAGTACCGAATGTGGGCAGAGCAGCAGGGTCAGGTTATCGTTGCCTGCAGCGTACGTTGTTGTAATTCCCATTCGTTTAATTAGACCGCCTCATTACAGATACACAAATGATGCCGTGTAATAAAGATCTGGCCTGTGGCCCCGCTGGGTCCTGCTGTGAAGGAGTAGCCGATTTCACTACTTCCTGGCTGAATTTTCAGACGTTAAGTTCTGTACGTGTGTAATCTGTGCTTTGACATTAAACTTTTTTTCCTTTATTGCACCTAGTAAAGGGGCATTACAACCGTCAGTGGGTGCCAGACATGCACCTTGGATGGATTAGGAAGCTTTTTCTTTTATGTTCCACATATTAAATAGCAATGTAGAGTAGCGGCTTTTGTTGTACGTGTATACATACAGTAGATCAGCAGATAAATGGATACACATGGGTATGCTGCGCTAAAACTTCCTCTGGAGCGTAGATGTCATTTTGGCTCAGGGGCCACATACAGTCTGATTAGATGTCAAGGCATAATTACCTCAAAATAACAAAAACCCCTTTTTTCCCATTTGTTTTCATGCAAATAAGCTCAATTGTTTTCATGCAAATAAGCACAAATTTATTAGAAAATATTCATATTTAATATGAAATATCATTCCACAAAACATCTCTGACTGGAATTGTTTGCGCATTTTTGCCACTAAAAATTCTTCAAGCGGGCCGGATTGAACGCCCTAGTGGGCCAGTTTTGGCCCACGAGCCGTATGTTTAAACCCCTGCTCTAGAGACTAGATTTTATCTCATTTTTTTTTTACAAATATTCTGACAGAGCTTTCCAAATTCTGTACATGAACACGTACAGAATAAAAGTGATAAAAGTCTATTAAAAATGTTATGGGAAACTAAGAGGCTACAGCATCTTCTGGAGTTTAATTAGGCTAAACTTAGTCAAACTTTTTTTTTTTTTTTCAGGAATTCTTTAGGTTCACAGTTTGTTCATTCATCCTGTGTCTGTCTCTCTTTTTTGGCTTTTTCTTCTTCCTCTGAATTTCTTTTCGCTGCCCAACTGACCCACTAATGTGCCTTGCCAACCGAACAACAACGGTGGTGCAGTTGAAACCAGATTATTCCAGTTCTCTGTGGTCAGTCGCTGAGAGAGCAGGCAGAGACAGAGCGGTGGGTGGCTAAGCCTTATCGCAGCACACACACACACAGACGCACACACACAGACTCTCACACGCAGGCTTCAAAGTGGCAAGTCGGACAGAAGATGTACCCTGAGTTTGTGAAATTGAGAGCTCAGTTGGGAGGTGAAATGTTCTCTCCTTGTCGAGAGCCACAGTCCAAACACACAGGACAGATAAGTCGACGGATATTACACTTTAAGTTGAAAAAGAGCCCAGGAAATTCAAGAAAAAAAAGACTACGTCGGAGATTCAGGTGCATAAAAAAAGTACCGATCCATGTAGGGTGGATGAGGGTTGCAAATACAGAGGAGGAGGGAAATCAAAGGAGACATATTGGAGGGAAAAAAAAGGTGTAGCGAGAGAAGATGGAGGTGAGCAATAGAGGAGAGGACTGAGTAAAAATGGACGGATGAAACTGGAGAAACGAGAGAAAGTCGAGAGAGTGCGTCGTCTCGGACAGCGACGGCAGGGTGGGACGCTGAACGGCATTAGACGAACAGACGGAATGAATGCACGAGAGAGAGTGCGTCGTCATTAGACGAACAGACGGAATGAATGCATTCATTACAGAACCACCAGAGTTCCAATTAGCGGGAGACCTAACGTCCATATTAAAAAAAAACTGTCGATACCAATACACCAGAGATGACTCTTCGACGCTTTGCGAAAATTAATGTTATATTAAACTAGATTTGTAACATCAACATCAGCTGAAATCTCTGACCATATCGAACGATCATCTGGCAACAGTTGAGCCTCTGTGTTAACGGGAAACCACTGTTCCAAAACGTTATACCGTACCCTGCGGCTTAAACAATGACGCGGCTAATTTATGGATTTTTACGGGCTAACGAAGTTCATACCGCTAGCGATCAATGACTTTTCTGGTAGGCTACGGTGTGTTATACTAGTAACCAATGTGGTACAACGTTGCTGTTCACCTCAAAGGGTTATGAATGGGGATGTGCGATATTAATTTTTGGCAATATCCGATATGCCGATATTGTCCAAACACTTCATTTCCGATCATTTCGATATTAACCGATACCAATATCGGCAGCCATTTGGTTTCAAGGCAGACATTTCCTCGTGTGCAGTGGTGTGCTTTCACTTTAAAACAATTTTTAGGTCACATTACCAACATCGGTTTTTATTTATCGGAAGTAAAAACTCTAACAATTTTTAACCGGTATTGCATAATTATGCTAATATCGGCCTAGACCTAGCGATGATTTTGATCGAAGTTTAGTACGATCGCCATTATCTGCAAACTGATGGAGTGGAAAAAGTTTTGAAGAACAGACAGGTTACGAAGTCTTTGGGAGACGAATGACGCAACAAGAAAACACACAAAAAAAATCAGACTCACCCTGTCCGTTGGAGTAGTAGATCCACTTTTCTTTGACCTGCGCCCTCTGCGGGGTCGACGGCTTCTTCTGAATAGCCTTCTCCACTATGCTGCTGGGATCCTGCATCGGGCCCTTCTTCAGCACCCGAGAGCTCCTCTTCACGCTGCACACCACAATTACAACCAGAACGAGCAGGAGCAGCAGTACAATCATCCAGGGCAGGTGTTCGTTGATGTCGAAGCGGTCGTGAGTGCTCGGCCTGGGGGACCCTCTGCGAGTCGACCTGTTGTGCGTCGACACGCTGCTCCTGCCGCTTCCGCTGCCCTGCTCGGCGATCTTGCTGACCCCCGTCCCAACCCTGACCCCTTCTCCGTCCACATCCTCCACTCCTTGCCTGCTGGGCCCTGGGAAAGGCTGCCTCAGCTGATACTCACGACTCACCGGGAGCCCGAGAGCTGGGGGCAGTTGAGTTCTTACGAGTTCATGGTTTGGTGGACGGAATGTGCTAGGAAGGCTAAGGAGCAGTCCATCTGAAGGACGGATTTCCTCAACTGGACTTTTTTGTACTTGAATAGCTGCTGACTGGCCATAGACGCCTATGAGGGGAAAAAAAGATGGAGAGAAAAGTTTGAACTTTGAACGCCACACGTTGGAATGATGGAACAAGACTTGTTTGCGAGAGGTATCCATGAAACGCTGTAGCTTGAAGACCCCCTGTAGTTACTGAACACCTACACACTACACTTAAACCCATTTGCACAACATGGTCCAGAAACAAGACAGGTTTCACATTGAAACTTTACACATCAGTGCTCGTTGGTGTGCACGGCTGAATCTGCTGGAGGCGTGACTTGTGTTTCACCAAAACAATATGTCAGACCGTTCGCTGCTGTCGGCCTGACACTCTTTTCGTGTGAGTCTATTGGCTTGACAGCAGGAACGAAGTCAGATGTGCGGAAATGTCAGGTCCCCTGCTGTCGCACAGCATGACAGAGCGCAGCCACAAACACCCAGGGATGTGTCTTAATAGCCTGTCACAGACAACGCATGCAGGGCTAGGTCCTGAAATCCAAACATTTCCGCCGACATCCATTATTTTTGTTCGTTTTTTTTTCTAACCATATATTTTAAATGGCACTGCCATCCGACTCCACTGTGAACGATCTACTGCCCTGTAGTGACCCACATGCGCCGACGACACGCGTCATGTTTATTGGAGTAAACGCGGGCACTCGTTTGCGTAACAGTGTGCGCGCATCAATTTGGATGTGGCGGTACGGTCAATATCGGTCACTTCGATTGACTTGACGTCGATCTCAGAGCTGCCACTCTGACCTCTGATGGCGTGTGCCAGGCCATGCTAGCTTTCCAGTTGCCACCCCACATACAAGTGAACAAAACTTCATTAATCTAGTTCTTTTGACTGAATAAGTCGTTGTTTTGTGGAATTATGCATTACGTCCCTAATTTCCCAAAGGGAATTACCAAGAGATTAATAAAGTTTCTATCTATCTATCTATCTATCTATCTATTCATCCATCCATCCATCCATCATCCATCCATCCGTCCATCCATCCATCCATCCATCCATCTATCTATCTATCTATTCATCCATCCATCCGTCCATTTTATTTTGAGTTGACCCTTAAAAAAAATACACGTCAAACTGGCCTGAGTTGTTTAAAACAGATTCCTATAACACACAAAGCTAAGCTAACGACTTTGTAAATACTTGATGATCACCTTGAACGAATGGAATTCCAAAATCCATAAAATTGTAACCAACGAACTTTACGGAGCCCCGTTCCCCACTAGTTAAAGTCAGGTGACAACAACAGCTGTGATTTATGCTACAGCTCCATTTTACTTCACCTTTTCTTCACCGACAAGGTTAAACTGTCAGTCTGGAGGGGGGCCGTCGACGGTCGCCAACACAAACCCCAGTGTCAATATTCTAGGTGTTAGTGGAGGGGGTAGAATACTGGGAATGGGGGATTCCAGGAAAGGAGCTGCAGGGCGACTGAGACACGAGTGGTGATGCATAGGGCGAGGGAGAGTGAGGAGACGCGGGTGACATTTTTTCCACACTTGTAAAAAAAGAACATTCACGTTTAAAGAGAGATTAACCCATAACTCCTGCTGACTACAAATGGTAGCATTCCTGAGGTTGGGAGCAGTCACCACTTTGTTTCCGTGCCAACAGAGAACCCTTCACTTTGTCTGGAGTCTTCCCACAGGGAAATGAGCGTGTGATTAACGGGAGAGAGCTGTGACTACCGCAGCCTTCCACAGAACAAGCCGTGGATGTGCTGTATATTAGCATGTATTAGCATGATCTGAAACTTAGAAATTACACTTTTATTTGGTTAGAAAAAAAAAAAAAACTTTTGTAAATTGTAAATTGGTGCATCTGTTTTTACAACAGCATTCATTAGCATACATTAGCGTTCATCGCGTTAGCATACATTCACATTAGCCACCTTTTTGGCTACTTTAATTGGCTACTATAAATGTCTTTTTATGTTTTTTATCAAGTTTGGATTTTTTGTTACAGGCTTTTATTTATTATTAGTTTTATTTTTGTTTATTTTAGTTTTTTTTGTGGTTCTACAGGGAACCATATCACTGATGTTTTCCTGTTGGTTTTATACCGCCGTTATATTGTATCGCACTTTCGATATCCAAAAATGCCTTCAAGGTCGTGGGACATAAATAGTCCCAGACAGTGTACTTCAGCCGATGTACTCAACTATGGGGGACAGTAGTGCAGAAACGCAGACACTATTTTGAATATATGGCTTTACCAATGGATTTCTATCTTTAGTTTTTGTGCTAAACATGACTTTCTAGTCTGCTAAGAATTACAGCATACGTGTCAAACCCAAGGCCCGTGGCCCAAATGGGGCCCGTGAGAGCTTGAAAGGTGTTTAATTGCCCTATAATAGAGTCCGTACTGAGTTTATTTTAACTTTGTAATAGAATAATAAATGTCCCAAAATTGAGCGTGGGGGTCATTTTCTACGCCATCTATTGGGGAATTGTGGGTATTGCAGGGAAAAGGCAGAAGTATAATGATAATATAAATTAATTATATCATTTGGAAAAGTTTGGCGGGCCGGATTAAAACAGCTGAACGGGTCACATCCAGCCCCCGGGCCTAATGTGGTCCCACCAATGAAAGTTTTAAGTTTAACACCCCTGTATTACAGGATCATGTTTCTCACCTTTCTGTCCAGGTCCTCTCTTTAGCGACAATGAAGAAGACGGATCAGGCTGAGCCTCCTGCATGAGCCCGACCTTTGCGGCTTTTGCTAAGGGCGTCGCAGCGGTAGTTGATGATGTCAGGGAGGAGGG